ATCCGCCCGACTTGGCCAATGCCGTGCCAAAAGAAGCAGATGCTCGAGATTGCGTTTGGAGCTGGGCTTGGGTTGGCGTTTGTGCTTGTGCTTTTGCTTGTGTTTGGCACACACGGTCGCCCGTCCTGATGGCGATAAGTACGACCCCGAACCTGGCCTGGGTTACATGAACCGCGCCGTCTGTGCAGTCGTGCGTGCCTGTGTGCGCGGCAAATGAGAAAGATAAACCGGGTAAGAGAGAATGAGAGAGAGAGAGAGGTTGGTAAAGGGGGGAGAAGCGGACGAGATAGCGAAAGTGAAGGTGGTGGAGAGACAATAAAGAATGAGATTGCAACTGTACAATGGGCTTTGGCCGACTGTCTGTCTGTCTGTCTGTCTGTTCGGTATCGGGTCGACGCGTTGCCGTTTGATTGCGCAATCGCCTCGGTATCTGGGCTCCGAATGACGGGGGGGGGAGCGGCGCCGGCGCTCCTCAGACCGACGTCCGGTGTCTGACGGCTCATCAATCAACCAAATCGGCTCCCCCCCGCGTCTTTGCGGGGTTGTCAAGCCCAGGGATACAGCAGTGGCCTCGGCCAATTCGGCAAGCTGGTAGGTGTGTGTATGTGTGTGTGTGTGTGCGCATGTTGGAGGCGGATTTGGAAGGCGGACAAGAGCGGATCAAGCGCAGAGGGTGGCGGAGGAACGATTAAAAGATCAAAATTGGCAGGTCAAGTGACACAAATGCGTTCGCCCCGATTGTGCGTGTGTACCGGTGTGTCTGGTTGTGTGCGTGTGTACTGGTGTGTAGACCATAAAGTAAAGGCAGAAGGGCACCTGAGCGTCCAATCGCATGTCAACCCGGGACCCGGCAACTGAGGCTGCGCTGTTGTGAGGCCAGACGTTGTGTGGGCGGTTGGCAGTTGGCGGTTGGCGATTGGCGGTTGACGGTTGACGGTTTGTAAACGTCTTGCGCAAGACCATCGTGGCCGAGCTTGTCGTGACGCTGTCGGCTCTGGCCGAGGCCGGACATGCGTGGGGGCGGGAGGAGGGCAGGGATAGAGGGGGAGGGAGGCTGTTGGCTCGTCAACGAGCTGCGAGACTTTGCGCAAAGGCGATTTGTGCTAGTCCCGCTGTTGCCGG